AAGACCCTCTATCCATAAATTCGTAACTACAGCGTCTAGGGTCATTTAAAATGCCAAACAATGTGACAGGAAAGAACTCCAGGGCACCAGGTCTGGAAAGTGATCAAATTCACTAAGAAAAACTGAACTCCACCACCGGAAGAGAGCACCCCGGAAGCGGAGGGGCTCCCTAGCAACTTCGGCTGCGAGTACACTTCCCCCGTAGCTGGCCTATGTGGAAGCGCTGCACTCTTTGGGTGACTGAAGTGATCTGTTTAGCTTTCTACATCACTCAGGAAGGAGGTGCTCTACTACTCATTCTCTCATTCTTGAGGCTATTTAATGAAAAATTTTTAAAGTAATATTTTATACAGGTAAGGATACGAAAATGGACAGATGCACGCACCATTTTTTATTTGTTAACAAAAATATTTTCTGAATGTCTACTGGGTACAAGCGACGTTCCAGAAAGCTCGGGTATTAAAGTGAAGTTACTGGGTACCTCAGACCCTACGAGGCTATGGTGAGGGGCTGGCTGGGCACTGAGGGGTGCTGTGTGGGACTGAGCTTTACACAGGGCAGAGCCGAACATGGGGTGCAAGAAGGCGGCCCTGCTGAGGCTTAACGGGGCCGCAGGAGGTCGTCTGCAGACCAGGCTGGCTTATCTGAGGATTTTTGAAGCATAGACGATGAAGTGGGCAACAGCTGCACACACTGAAAGTATCCAAAATTAGTGTTTTTAAATTTGTTTTTCTAAGGAAATACTGAGATGTTTAAATACAGCAAGCGACAACAAGCCATCCTGACTGCAGGGGTGTGTGCTGCGTCTCTCTCCTTCTCTTGGCCAGCAGCATGGGAGCAGAAGGCGGGGCAGAGAAGGAGCAAGGCGGAAAGGAAGCCCCCTACAGGAACTGGGCCGACACCTGCGGGGCCAGGACGAGGCGGGGCTGCTCGAGGAGCTTCACGTGCTGCGGCGCAAGAGCAATGTGACAGGTGGGAGGAAGGAGCGGGTTGTAACCGCGGGTGGCCGGAGCGGAGGCCCGACTGTGGCTCCAGTGCCTGCGGAGCGACCTTTCCCGGGGAAATAGCGGAATTCTGCCTGCTGCTCTGTGGCTGTTTCCTTTGAGCAACTGAACAGCAGAGGTTTTATTTTTATTTTATTATTATTATTATTATTATTATTATTTATTTATTTATTTTTTTTTTTTGGTGGAACCGGGGTTTGAACTCAGGCCCTTGCACTTGTCAGGGAAACAGCAGAGGTTTTAGTGCAAACTATGAGCCACTGTGTGTGACCAGCGGAGGGGACTGGCCCCGAGGCCTGTGGTGTCTGTCTCCGTTCTCAGGTGACAGCACCCCAGGCCAAGAGCCCTGGCTTCCTGCTCAGTTCTGCTGCTCTGCCACCCTAGGAGGTTGGAGGTGATGGGAATTAAGGTTTAGAAATGGACCAGAGTCAGCCAGGATGGGGCTGCTATGGTTGACTTCAACTGTCCCTTCTGGAGCAGCTTCACTCTCCAAGACAGAGATCCAAGAGGCGGCAAGTACAGATAGCAACTCGGGCTGGATGAGACTTACGCCTAGGCTGTGTGCCCAGGCCTCGATGGCCAATCAAACTCTGCTCTCCTCCTTTCTTTTTTATAGCTATGTGCAGTGTTTTCAATTTTTTTATTATTTATTTATGTTTTTGCGGTACTAGGGATTGAACTCAGGACCTTGCACTTGCCAGGCAAGTGCTTATCCTACTGAGCCATCTCCCCGGCCCCCTTTCAATATTTTTTAAATGCTGCAGTTTTATTTTTGTATTTCATCTTTGACCCAAGAGTTTCACTATGCAGCACCTTTAAACGTCCAAGAGAACAGGTGTTCCATGCTTTTTGTTACTGCTATTCCAGTGAGCTTCCGTTATCCTCAGAGGATGTTGCTTGTATTTCTTTTGTCTTATGCAACCCACAGTATTGTCTTTGTGACCTCATCTCTGGCTACTTTCGTGTAGGCTCTAAGTGCAGTTAGAGTGTTTTCTTTTTCTATTACCAAAGTTTGCAATGTATCTAGATCTGCCTTGTTCATGATGCTGCTTGGAGTTTGTGTATCTTACTTATCCTTTATCTCTTCCTCGCCACTGTCCCTGTCCTGGACCGACAGCGGTGCGCATGGCATTATCTGATCAGCGTACGTGTCAGTTTCTCTCGTCCTCTCTGCAGTTCCTACCACGAAGGCGGCGGCTATCTTGTTAGCTCTGCATTCACACCCACCGAACGTTCCTTGTGGATTCGGCCTTCAGCATAAGTCAGCCCTTCCTCGCCTTATTTTCTGTGTTCAGCTTGCATTTTCCGAGTCACACATCAAGATGGAAACGGACGCCTTCCGTTGCTGTCACTGCTCTGCAGTTTCCTCGTCCACTTCTGCCAGGCCCTCTGTCTTTGACCTTTAAAAAAATCACTCTGTGGGAAGTGTGTCTCTTCTGCCCTGCATGAGCTGTTTTGCAAGCTTCACATTTCTGACTGGGAGGTTACACTTTGCCCGGCATACATCGGCACTGCATAACATATCGTTTCCCTTTTCTCCTCTTCCTCCTTTCCTTCAGCGGGGGGTGGGTGGCACCTCGGTTCCTCTCCTTTCTCGCACCAGCTCTGCACCCGTGCGGCCCTGCCATCTCATCCATGGGCTCGGCGTTCATCCTCCATGCTGCCTGTGGGCCTCACACCCAGTGCGGCGGGCATGTGCCCTCCCAGGGAGGAAACGCCGCAGACCCACGGAGACCGTGGGCTTGAAGAGCACTGCATGCACATGGACGTTTAACACCTCCTCCTCCACTGGCTGACGCGCAGGTGAAGCTGCCAATATTTAGATTAAGGCCTGATGTTTCCCAAAATATTCTTTAAAACATCATGAATGCAACCATTCTGTACTACAAACATGGCCTAATATAAGTAAAAAATTTAAGAATCTATAACTGCCTGACCTAGAAGTAATGCCCCTGCATATGAGCCCACTGCTGGAAGAAACCTAGAAATCTATTCCAACTTTCTCTCCAGTGTGTCCATTACGTCAATGATACCCAAATAAATTTTCCATTCTGTTTGCATTTTTGGGAAATAGCTGGTCCCTGATGCTGCCAGGCATTCACAAGGCTGTCCCCGTATGGCAGCAGTGACCCTGGCCACTTATAAGCACTGTGCCACAGTGTTTTATGGGGCCAAAGGTAGAATCTTGAGGACTGTTAAGGAGACCGGGCAGGGACACAGGTTAGAGAAGGGGCAGGTGATGTGCAGGAGCAGGTAGGCGATGAGCTCGTCCCCATCCACAAGGTGCAGGTAACAGGAGTGTTCCTCCCCTGGGCAGAGGGACACCTCTCCTGGGCCATGCATAGGAACCCAGCCTACAGCCCCATGACTCAGTAGTCTCAGTAGTCCTTCCAGTTTTTCTAGCAAGATAGAAATCTGTTTTTATCGTGTGAGATTCTCCAACTACTCAAAATGGCAACCAATTCTAGTTTCTCCAAACACAAGCCAGACCATTAAAAGAAATCCTACATGAGGGAGGGGTGGGCGCACTTGCAGGCTACTGCTTTGCTGCCCTTGTTCTAAAGGAATCTGCATAAAGCCAAGTGCAAGAGAAATATTAAACAGACCGAGACCATACCACTTCCGAGTCCAGTTCCTAACCATTCAATTCCTACAAGCGAGGGTTCTTTGGATGACATGGGTGAGAGACGGGAAGAGGAAGACATGAACTGCAGGCCCAGGAAAGGAGGCTCCAAACAGTCAGGAGATGGAGCTGGTTCCTAAGCACTGGCTTCCTGGTGTGGCCTACAAGCCTTTCCCATGGGGAGCCTGACTGACAGACCCACTGGTCAATCCCTGTGCAGACGAAGCTGACATAGGTGGGGCATAGGGACCCCTTCCGGCCCTCCCCCCGCCCACCCCAGGGGTCCTTGCAGCCTCCTTGGACAGAGTTACTGGGGTGACACAAAGGACATCGTGCTGCCAGCCCAAAGGACAACTCTCCCCCACCCTTGTTCTTTTGGCTTTCCCCCCTCAGCACCTCGGAGCCCAGCCAAATGCCTCCTCTTCGGCGGGGTGCAGCTGTCCCCACTGTTATAAATAAGGCCCAGAAGAGCTGCTCATATTTTTAGCACTTTACTGTGGAGGCAGAGGTCAACAGGAGGCCCACGTGTGGGCTCAATTCTCTCTCTGTATCTCTCCTACTTTCTTCCAACACAGATATTTTCTGTTCTGACAGTTAAAGTCAGGTATTTTGGGCAAAAAGGGACCCCAAACATTTACTTTCTCTTGGCTGGATCTCGTCTAATTGCCAGGGTTTGGGTGACATCTGTCCTGTAGCAGGGAGACTTGGGGCAACGGTGCCCCGGGCTGGCGTCAAAAACGCCTGCCTCTTTCTCTTTTGCGCTTAGAGAGGCTTAGCTTAGAAAGCAGCCTCAGGCTTCTCTCTCAGAATTGCGAATTGTGCTGCGCTGGGCCCCCGAGGCAGATTCACTTATTCATGTCTGACCCCGGTCTTCCAGGGTCTCACGCTCAGAGGATGTCCCTGTGTCACCTACACCACATTGCTGCCCCTGTTGAACCCTCCAACCCCTCTTTAGTCAGTTCCTGTCCTATCCTGCAGGTGACAAAGCTGAGGCACAGTGGCTTGAGAAATGCACCCCCCCAGTCACATCATCACCTGGCAATGGCAGAGCCAGTGAAGGCACTCGGAATCTCAGTGCCAGCTTCTTGTCCACATTCCAGAAGCCAGGCCTAGTGCACATATGCCTCGTGGGGGTAAGAGGAAGGAAGGAGGAGGAGGAGAGGGTGATGGATGGAATTCACACGCATGCGCACGCGCGCACACAGGCATGCTTACACACACACACTTTCTCTCTTTGTCATGGTCTCTAATGTGTCCTCTGTGCTGCTCTTTAGGAACCACAGAGTGGCCTTAGATTATGAGCACAACTTGGCCAAAGCCCTTCGGGCCCCGGGGTGGAGACCCCGGAGGAGGGCAGTGCTGGGCTGTCTCACCTGCTCTCTGGGTCGGCCAGGGCCAAGCTCCGAGTGACGTAGCACATTTTCAGCGGGATGCTCTTCTGGTCTCTGTGGAAGGAGAAGGCCTGCGAGGATGCCTGAGGGTCCGAGGAGCCGCCCCCCAGCCGAGGGGACTCTGGAGGAGGTGTCTCCCACCCAATCTCGGACACCGGGGATCCTTTCTTCACGTAGGGCGTGGCTTCTCGCATGTACTTCACTGCAAGCGAAGAGACAGAGACTCAGTTTCCCGAAAGCTCATGTTCCTGAGAAATACTTCAGCTGCGCAAGTTCTTAGCAGTGAATCTCTCAAATTTTACGTAAGATTCAGAGTTTTTGTTCCTTGAAACATAATTATCTTAGTATTTCAGTTACATATGGATACACCTTAGTACTTGCTGTCACAATGTCCTGCCCTTGGGAATCACTTTGCGCTTTTCTCAACTGCGACAGTGTCCATCTTTTCTGATTCTAAGTTGCATGCTGGGAAGAAGGCTGACAACAAATGGGCAGAGAGCGGGCAAGCGTAACTCAGGCTAAAAGACAGATCGTATAATATAAATGTTTGGACCTGGCACGGGCATGTGCTGCCCTCGGCACACAGACATTCATGGTCGGCTGCATCCTGCTCAGAAGCGAGGACATGGTTCTGACTTGGCAGTGCTCAGGGTAAGGGTGTATAATGATGCACACACAAGAAAGTACGAGCTCCATGGCAGAATTCAGGAGTAGCAAAATCGTCTGTTAGAGATCAAAACTAAGCAGTGACAGGTTGGATGAATAGTCATGCAACTCTACCGTCACTAAAAAATGACTGCAAGATCTTTTTTAGTGACAACACCAACTTGGCAGTCTATCTACTGCGCTATCTTTGCATAAAATAATAAATTTACATACATTTGTATCAACAATTATTTCTGGACATCTAGATAGGAAAACATGAGCAAGCTAGCTCTGGGGAGTGGCAAAGAAAGTCAAATCAGTGAAGAAATAGGTCCCTTACAATTTGTCTACCTTTTTATAGCATTTTCATGTTTAACTACATGTACATATTTTATAAAATTTAAAAGAATAAAAATAACTCAAGAACTGAATGTGAATGAAGTAGACTGAGGTCTGATGTTCTTTCTTCTGTTTGTTCTTTTTTTTTTTTTTTTTGGTGTTTTTGAGACAAGGTCTCACTATGTGGCTCAGGCTGGCCTTGAACTCACTACATAGCTAAGGCTGGCCTTGAATTCAGGGTGATCCTCCTTCCTCTGTGTACTGGAGCTGGGCTGACAGGCGTACCACATGACACCTGGCTGAAGGGCTGGTCCTTGATATGTCTGTCTTAGTATTAACCAGTTATCTTTTAATTTGTTAACTTTGTACATTTTTAACTGGAGCACTTGGTCCTTGGACAGTTTTGGAGTTCACAGGGTTCTTGGAATGTACAGCAGGGACGTTCCTAACCTTCTCCTGGTTGGCCACACTGGGGCTCTGCAGAGGCCAAGGCCGAGTTCTGCCCAGTAAATGTCACCACAAAGGGCAGCAGATCAGAGTCAGTACAGACTAGATGGCACTCCCTCCAGATCTCTGCTGACTCCATCCCACACACCGGTACCTCCACAGCCCATGACACGGAGCCAGGGAGAGGGAGACAGCAGAAAAGAACCGTACTCAAGAGTCCCAGTGTCCTGCCGACTACACAGGTCCCGAGGGTGGCCCTTCTTGACCCCTTTTCCTACAACCCAGTTGCTGCTGGGTGTTGGCTGACTCTGCTCTGAGAAGCTGCTCTCTGCCCAACGGAGTCCCCCAGCCCCCAAGTGGAACACAAGCCGAGCGCGTGAGCTGGGGCACAGAGCAGAACACCTACACTGCACAATGGCAGCAAAGCACCTTGGACCAGCCCATGAGAAACCAAGACTTGGGAGCCCCAGAGTGGCTCCAGGGCCCAGCGCCTTAAGGAGCCACTAAGATGCCTCAGAGGCATGTGGACTGGCCAGGCACCGGGAGCTCAGTCGCAGATCTCAGAAACCGCTAAATATTTTGTTGAATTCAAGTATGTACAATATTTGAACTGGCATCAAGTATGAAAAGATCCTTTAAAGACTTCTCCAAATACAGCTTCTCTAACAACAATGAAACACCCATCTCTGATAAAACAAAAAAGGAAGATATAAATAAAGGACCATTTCGTAGTGAAAAAAATTATATATGTATATACAAAATAGTTGGGATAGATATATAGCTGCCTTCTATTAGTTCAATGAGAAGAAAGCTTGTACTCTTATTGTTCAGACAAGACATCATGTCTGCATCTTGTACTCTGAATAACTACTACGAAGACAACAATATGCAATGTATTAATTATTGTAACTATCCTACTAACCTGTTTTGAAACTGTTTCATTGTTATTATTCTCATTAAAATAAATAAAAAATTTTAAAAAAAGAAACGACTGCATTCATGCGAAGCAGAAGAGAAGTCACTTAGAAACAACACATAATTTAAAAGATGCCGCCAGGATTTCAACTGAAGGTAAGAGTGAGCGGAGGACTGCGCTGCTGCGAGCCTGTGAGAACAGGCTACGTGTACAGAAGCAGAAAGACTACGCATGAAATGCACATTTTAGGGAAGATCCCAACTTCAGGGCACTGCATTTAAAGAGGAACACAGACACAGCTAAGAACAAATGCAGAGAGCCAAGGCGGACAGACGTACACTGTGGAGAAGAAGAATAACTAAAACTCTTTCGAAGCGACTGAAATTTGTCATCTTGAAAATCATTCTTGCAGAAGCTAGAGCACTGCCTCTCACTGGAGAATTACACTTACCGACACACAGGAAGCCCAAGCATCAGCGGAGATGCATTAAAGATTTGCTTTCGATTGCATTACTACTCTCTCTGGGTTGGAGTCCAGGATCAGCCTTTTGGGATTGATGCTTTGTGGAAGGGATGGCATTTGAATTTGATCATAAAAAGTAGGCAGGACTTCAAAAAGTAGAAATAAAGACTTTTATATGGAGCTAGAGTTTGATTGAACTAGAGATCATATTCTTTCATGAAATTTGACTCTGCCTCTTAGAGGACGGAAGACGCCAAGCCTCTTTCTACGGAAGGCACTCTGGTGTTCAACTGTTGCTGCGACTTCATGGGGGTGTTGCTTACTCTTCTATCACTGCTGAGACAAAATACCCAACACCCGAAATGAGGGAAGGAAAAGTTTATTCAGCTCACAGTTTGTGGAGTCTGTAACCAGCTGGCTGCAGGGCCGGGGGGCCCACTACAGAGGGCAGCGAGAGCAGAAAGGGCTCTGCGAGCCTGTCCTCCACCCGCACATCGCAGGCAGGCTCCTGCCCTGGGGCTGGCGAGGCCCTCACACCTGCTCCCTGCCGCCTCTTGCTCAGGCTCAGGAGGTTTACAGGCAAGGACCCTGGTCCCTGCTGAGTCACTTAGCTAACCTAATCTTCTCAAATGGACACTGTGCATCAACCATTACAATGGAAAAGCAAAGGACCCCTTTTAGGAAGGGCCACTGAGGGTATGGCCAGACACAGCTGAAGCAGCACTCTTGAAGTATCAGTTTGGGTGGCAAGCATCTCGCGACTGTGGCTTGGGGGCAGAAGCCCAGGAGGTGCACGGGGGAGAATCAGCCTTGAGGCACTGCTTCCTGAGGGGCAGGGCCCTGGGCTGATCCGCCAAGGAGCCACCGGGTGGGGCGCAGCACGGGAGCAAAGGCACTGCAGCAGGAACGAGGGCCAACCTAGAGGAACCCTTCCAGTCGAACGAGGGCAAAAAAGACAGGGAAAATAAGGTAACAAATTTGGGTGATAACTTAAAAATTAATTCCTTCAGCCAAAATTTATCAGTTGATTTTCATGAGAAATGATGCCCAATTTGAAGAATTTATGCCTCAAAAGGGAGAAGCTAAGTAAGTGGATGACATGATTGGTTGTATTAAATACTAAGCCTGGTTTAAGTCCCAGGTCTCTAGGTGCCTGAAAGTGCAAATCCTTTCTGGAGAAAGTCAATTTCTTTCTAGGAAGGAATCCTTATGAATCATTTTAAAAGGCAATGAGCTAGCGAGTAAAAAAGAAAAAGGTGAGCACATGGGAATAAGGTCCCATGAGCAATGGCTAGCGCAAGAACCCGCCAGCAAAAACACTGGGGAGAATCAAGCCGAGATTATTTTTTAAAATGACCTTACAGATTGGGAAAAGCACCACTTAGCACGTCTAGTAACAATAATAACAATCAGAACAGAGTGGAGACTTCAATACCCTATCAGAAAAATTAATGAATTAGAGATAAAATGAAATTATATATAATAGAGCATAAAAAAGCAAAAATGAGGGAAAATACAGCACAGAGAGCGAGAGATATGAAAATTGAACCAAGAAGGGTAATATGTGAAGGGTGATGTAAAAAAAGGGTGACTGTCTAAATTTTATAAGGATCCTTTCCTCTGAACAGCCCCTGCCCGCCAGCTGAAAGCTGGCAAAGGGAGGCTGGTGCTGTGGAGGAGCGGCTCTCTGCTCTTGGCTCTCGGCTCTCTCGGCTGGGGCCAGCGCAGGTCACAAGGGCAGGGAGCAGCAGTTTCTGCCACAAGGATGCACCCTTAATTCTTTTAGTCTGTGACAAGTTAGATTCACAACGAGTACATACAAGGGAGTGGCGCCCTCAGCTATCCACACAGCTGCAGGTCCCAAGCTCTTTGCTGGGTGCTCTGCAGGTCCCAAGCTCTTTGCTGGGTGCTCTTGTGCGCTGGCCCGTTTGAGCCTCACAGCCGGGACGCAGGCTGCAGCTGTGCTAGTGGCTCCTCAGTGCTGGGACAGAGTACCGGACGCGCACGTCTGAAAGGCGGAGGGGCTTACTCGGGCCACGAGCTTCAGCCCGCGCGCGCCCCTCGGCTCCGGAGCAGAAGCATCGCGCTGGAGTGCGTGGTGGCCGGAGCTCCCCAGCTAAGGGCGCTCGGATGCAGAGGGCAAGACTAGAGCCTGAGGCAGAGGCTAGGGGCCGGGCACAGTCCCCAGGGCGCACACCCATGCCCACCCAGACGCGCCCACACGTCGGCTTTACAGATCGCCCACGCGTCTCTCAAGCCTGCCAAGGGACAGTGAAGAGGAGCCATCTTCATCCGGCTGCCCTCCCCATCTAGGGAAGGCCCCCAGGGGCGAGGCTAGGTGGCCAGTGTGATAAAGTGGCCCTGGGATGTGGGCGGAGCCGAGACGAGCCCG